AATAATTATTTACCAAATGTGAATAGATTTTATAGTAATTTTGGGAGTTTTTTGGATGCTCACTGAAGTTGGACTCAGTCCTTGGCAAACCAAACAGTCCCTACAGACAGCTGGGTAGCAGCTTCAGTTCGTGGTCTTGCTCAATGAACAGTCTGCTGTGGGTCGCACTAAGTGGATGCACGCAATCTTAAGAAAAATATGTTATGGTTGCTTGTGTGGAATTTAATGGAAGCTACTGGCTCTCTAATGTGACCTTTGTTAATTATCTGTGTAATTAGCTGTGTCCCGTTGTTAAATATCTCCCGCCTTGCTGCAAGTGGGTTTTAAAATAAACCGTTTGGGCTGACTCAGGTTTAAAAAAAAAACAAAAAACATTATTGTAAGTGTTGATTTTTTTTTCTTTAAATTATTATTCTGTTGCAGTTTAGCCACTGGGGAACCATTTTCCTGAAGTTTAGCGTCTATAATAGCTATCCTCAAAGTGAACACATGGCAGAGCTGAGACAAGCAAGTTAGTGTTGCACATCCAGGTTAATAATAGTGCTGCATAGTCCTCATTCACCATTTAATTCAATACATACACCTTAATGTAGCATTAGGTGTTTGTTTTGTTATTTTCATTAAGTTCTACATTTACTAGACCTCTTTGGGCTCCACACACAGGCAGGCAGACTGTTTTTGTAGGGGGCTTTGAGGCAGGCTGAGATCATCACTCAGTGGAGCAGCACAGTGTCTTGTGTTTTTCCAGGATTCACTGGAGACCAAATGGTCATTTTTTTGTGGTCATTCACTCCTATCATTTTCTTATGCAGGCAAGACTATCATGTAGATAAACATTTACAACATAATAGGCTTTTTATTGTAATGCTCATTTAATTAAAAAACTGAAATAGTTCCCTAAAAAAATCAGCTTTTTATTAATTAATAAACTTATCAGATAGCTAGAATTTATAGACAAGTACACATAAAACTATTATTTTTTTGCTTAGTTTTGCTTAGGATTAAGACACCCACCTAGTTGAGACACCCACCTAGTTGAGACATCTCATCTCATTTCACTAATTTTACATCCTTGGTTCCTTTCCTCGACTCCTCTCATCTTAGTCCCACCCACCAGAGATGGGAGCAGAGGAGGTGAGAAGAGAGGAGTCATTGCAACAGGTGTTTAACAAGATGAGACATCCTCACCTTAAAACTGTTGTTTTAAAAGCAACATCAAATACGATGTGTGCACAGCTGTGTTTTCTGTTCATTGCTTTGTAGTTACTACTACTGTAGTTCATGTAAACTTGACTTGAGTGAGGATACACCTGTACATTCTCGCTCATACCTCCTCCAGCAAGCCTTGTTGAGCCTCTCATAGAGTTGCATTTAAAGAACTGAGATGTCGTTTGTGGTGCACAAAGATTGATTTCTAGGTAAAAGGCCAGAGAACACAGTGCCGAGGAGCCTGGAATTAGTGAAATGACATAAACCTTTTATCCATCCAGCCTTTTGTTTATATCTTTTATGATGTACCTCCAGTCCAACGAGTTTGTGTGTAGCCCTCTGACAGGCTCCATTGTTGGCTGTAAGGAGTTGCTGTGGCCGCACTGTTCCACCTGCCGGCTCCACCCCTGATCGAGACGGAATCAAGTGCAGAAATTACTTCACCTTTCAAATGTGAAGATCTCAATTATGGACACACATAATCAACATTAGAACAATACACAAACAATTCAATTATATTTATATAGCGCAGTTCACAACACTTGTCATCTCACAGCACTTAACATAGTATGGTGAAGACCTTATGAATTTAAACAGAGAACCCAACAATCCAAAGTTACCTTTGGTCTCCCTCTGAGCAAGCGGTCGGTAATGCTGGGAAGAAACAAAAAAAAACCCAATGGGAGGAAAAAAACCCTCAAATACCCCTTTTCCACTAAACCAGTCCCAGTGCTAGCTCCAACTAAGCACCGGCCCTAGCACCAGCACGGCACTAGCACCTGGTGCTTCTTGGTGGAAAAGGGGTGAAAGAGAACCAGGCTCAGGAAAGGCGGCCATCTGCCTCGACCAGTTGGGTGACAGTGGGGATGAGTGGAGTGAGGATAGCAGGATAGCAGTGACTCAGGGTGGGGTCAGTGAAAGCAGTCATAATGGCCATCCTCGCTGTGATGTTAATTCAATTCAATTTTATTTATATAGCGCCAATTCACAGCACATTGTAAAGTGAAGACCTTAGGGATTTTAAACAGAGAACCCAACAATCCAAAGTTGCCTTTGGATTCCCTTTCAGCAGGCGGTTACTGGACACAGTGGATGTGACATGCAGAGATGAGAAGCTGCACTAAAGACTGAATAAGGACAAGAATAATCAGGAAAATGTGCCCCTGTTAGTGTTATTCCTCAATATGACATCTAATCCTTATTACTGATGCATTCATGTGTACACAGCATTTTAATGTTCTAGCTTCTGAAACTGAAACTATTTGGTATGGGACTGCAACTGATAATTGTTTTCATATGTGATTAATTTGCTGATTATTTTCTCAGATAATAATTCGTCAGCCATGGAGAGGGCAGAGCTCTGTTTTGCCAGTTTGTCTGTCTCTCATTCTGCAGGATTACTAGGTCTGGGACTTCAATGTGTGAACTTTGATTAATTAATTACAGAGAAAATATCACTTTTAATCGCAGCTTTCTCAGTTCCCTGATTTCTTTCACACTGGTAACACCGATGCACGCCTGCCAGCCGGTAGGTGGCGCTAATGGACCTACAGCTGGTTTTCAGCCGCAAAGAAGATGCAGAGGATGCACTGAGTGACTTCAGCACACAAGAACGTTTGGTGAACAATGATGAAGAGGAGCCCTTCAGTTTTATTCAGAATACCTTGATTGAGCTTATCTGCCACTTTATATATATATATATATAATCTTACTATTATAATCTCCTTAATGTATTTGTTCATTCGTTGTTATTTTCCCATCCTTATGCATTTACGTCTTTCAGCTGTGTTTTGGAATGTCTGAATGTTTGTATATATCTTAATCCTACTATTATACTACTCATTGTTGAACTTAAAGATCGATAAAACAAAAAGTGTTGGGCAGAAGATGTTTTTCTTATCTTCTCATGCTGCCTGTCCACAGGGATGATTTTGCCAAATTTGCTTAAAGTTGAAGTTATGTCTGGTTTATGCAAATGAGCTTGTGGCGACGCTCTAGAACACGTTTCACTACTCAATGAATGGGAAGAAAGAAAGTGACAGATCCTGCAGCATGAGGCAGCTCAGAGCATGGTGGTGTGCAAACTGTGCAACAAAGAGTTTTAAGACAAAAAAGTCTTTAAATGTTGAATATTATTGCTATAATTGCACTTTGAGTTTGAACTAATATGTGAATGTAGTAGACAGATGAAAAACAGAGATAAATATAGATGTTCAGGTGTATATCTATTCACTGATTCAGTCAACAGAACTTATTGTAAATTGAAAAACTTTACTTATTGTGTCAAATACCGCTGTTTAATTTAAATCGCAATTAATTATTAATTAATCACAAAGCCTTTAATTATTATTATTATTATGTTTTTTACTTTTCCTACTAAGGATTACACAAAAATACTATGAAGCTGAATTTCATGATACTTGCCGGAGCATGGCTTAAGTAAGAACCAAACAAGATCCTGTACTGTTCAGGGGTCTCTGAGAGCACACATATGAAAATTCACTACTTACTTACTTTAAAATAATAAAGATGCTCTTTCTGCAGATCAGGCCACAAGTTCAATATATGATTTTGCATTATTAAATAAAATACAATCCACAGATGGTATTGGCCACTCAGAACCACTGACAGCAAACCTCCATGCCCATGCCGAAATCTTTGTGCAATCTTTGATTTAGTGCTGAAGTTAAACTGAAATTAACTAAGCAGACGAGGGTGCTGCTTCAGCTGAGGAACATTACCAATCTGAAATCCATCTTCTGTCTGAATGACATAAAGACTGTGACCACTGCATTCATTTCCTCAAGTCTAGATCACTGTAACTCACTGCTTCTGAGTATTATTCAGTCCTCTGTGTCTCATCAGCAGCTGCTGCAAGACTCCTAACTGGCACTAACACAATGATAAACATTACACCTGTATAGCATCACTGCACTGACCACCTGTTCAATACAGAACTGATTTGAAGGTTCTAAAGCCATGCAGGAGTTGGCACATGGGAACACGTCAGCTCTTCTCAGCCCCTACGCTACATCCAGGCCTGGTAGATCTTTAGAACTGCTGCTGTCAGCCTTTGGAGAACTCTGGGAAAGTGACATCAGGCCTTTGCAGTGGCAGCACTAAAGCTCTGAATCAGCCTCCCTCTCTCAGATAGATGTTCCTCCTACATTGACATGAAAAAAATAAAATAAAAAAATCTTAACACATGCATAGTTTCAACTACCTTTTGCTGTGTTCATAAGGTTTTAGTATGATGTATATTTATTTTATTTTAGCAACGGATCCTACAAGTTGTTCTGTCTTTTTTTTGTAGATAATTTAAATAATTGTTTATTTTAAACTTTTACTTAGTTATCTGTTTTGCCTTTTAGCACTAACAACACGTGCAGCACTTTGGTAAACTCAGGCTGTTTTACTCCAGAAATAAACTGGATGTAATTCCAGTTTCAGGACAGATAGGTGCATACGACACTGACAAAACATCTGAACCATATAATAACCTACAATTTAAACAGAGTAGATATGCACATGTTGCTGTCAACGTTTTGTTAATTTTAGATTTGATCCACCTGGTGCTGCGTTGAAGTGATCGCGAGATTTCTCTCTTGTCTCGCGACATCTTCTCCGTAACCACGGAAACGCTGCTGAGCGTAAAATGGCGCCGGCAGCGTCCAGCGCTGAGATGGAGCAGAAACAACAGAGCAGGGAGCATTGAGTGTTTGTCTCAGCGCTTAATCACTCCATCTGGTCAACGCGTTTGGATTTAAATGATGCTACGGTGATATTTCCTTTAAAGCAGGTCGATGATCATGTTCACTGACGAAGTTGTTGACTCGGTGAGCGTCCAGTCGCTGTGGAGGAAGAGCCGGCAGGCGGCGCAGGAGTCGGTACGTCCACCTCCGCAGTCTGGTAGCTGAACCAGAGCTCACAATTAAACCAGAGATGTCTCGGAGTGTGTAGCGGGCTCGTTAGTAACACACAGAAAGATGAACTAAGTCTGATAGAAGAAGCCAGCAGACAGGAAGAGCCTTGAGCTGTATCCCCTAAAAGTCACTCAGTTACTGTAAATCATCTTTCAGTCATTTTATTACTTCTAAGTTCACAGCATTAGTTTTACTCCTCTGTAAAATTTAATAGAGTTTAGATTCACTGTATTAAAATACAGACTCCACAGAAGGAACTAAAAAGTCAGTAGAACTTTCATAAGTGGGATTCAGATCTTTTATTTTGACAGTCCTTCATCCGTTCACCTTTGTTTTTGTCAGGTTTGATGCAGCTGTCTGTCTGTTTGTCAGAGCTGGACTGTGTCACTGTCTGCAGCTCTCAGCAGTGGTACTGGGGCTCGTTCTGTACCTCCGGATCAGTGCTCACACTGTGTTTGGACTATATTTAGCTGACCACTGATGTTTGTGTTCCTTTTCCATCTCTGTGAAGGTCACACAATCAGATTTTGATTTCCTCAATTCTGTTGTGCAGCTGTGATGCAGCTATGCAGATGGACACAGTCCATAGGTCCAAAACAGACAAAGTTCTGCTGTTTACATCCCATTTTATAGCCTTGTTCATGCAGTTTGCCTGACTGGAAATCAGAGAGGTACTTAAATTTGTTTTAGCAGTCACAGGTTTTCTAACTTGTGTGCCAGTGATCACAAGTGTATTTGCTTTTGTTGCACTGAGTTTCTACTTTGGGACCTGTAGCATCACTTTTTGGAAGACTGCATGAAACAGCAGAGCAGAGATTTTCCCAAAAAAGCAGCAGCCGAATGCATTCATTTGGCTTGTGTTGAATGCATGACTTTTTCGTTAAACTTTAATCAAAAATTTGCTTTTTTGTACAAACAATAAAGGAGACATTTAAATGCTGTCTGATAACAGATGTTAGTTAAAATAAAACTAATATTAAACCAAAAAATCATTGAGAAGGTAAGGGTTGTTTATCATTTGTTAGTGTACTGTTTTTTTTTTTGTTACCATAAATTTAAAGCAGCTAAAGGGAACTATTTGCCATTTAAGATAGTGAGCTATGCCAGCATAGCATTAAAACTGCCCCTGCTGAGGTGTATTTGATTGTGTGCACACCTAATAATTGACTGATTACTGAGTGAATGTTTCTGTGCTGGTGTTTCAGAGGGGCTGTCAGACACGAGCGGTGCACAGTGCTGAGGGAGCAGTGCAGACTGTGTCCACTGCCAGCATTTCTACTCAGACAGAGCAGCAGGACCAGGAGACAGAGCAGCTCCTGCTTCTCCTACAGAACCGTGATGAGCCAGATCCACCAGGCCTCAGAGACTTCCTTCAGCGGGTTGAGGGTTTGGTCATCAGAGAGTTGGTGAAAAATGCAAAGAGTCATGCCTTTGATGGGTTGCTGGTGAACTCAGAAGACTACAGTCAGCGGGTAAGCAGAACTGATGAACCAAACTGATTTTTTTGTAAAATTTATGATTCCTGATTTAAGCTGACAGCTTTGTGGCCATTTCAGTTAAATCAGATTTCAATTTAATTTTATTTATATAGCACAACTTATAACATATGTCACCTGACAGCCATTAACATAGTCAGGTGACGACCTCACAAACATGACAGTAAAGTGCCCTAAACCTCATCATGGTACTGTATCTTCATGAGGAGTTCTTTGTATGACCCTGTTCCATGGTTGCAGGTTTCCTGCCTGCATTGTCTTCAACATCCCAGTGCTCAAGAGAAAGGACTTCATGTCACCAGCGTGTCCTGGAGTTGCACAGGTTCAGTTATTGCCTGTGCCTATGGTCGGTATGTTAGAGCTTCACCTGATGTGTACACACATGATTTTAACAAACCTCTCATGAGGTCCTGGATGACCTCATTTTAGTATTTTATTCCTTACTCTTCAAAAACTGTTAACAAGAAACCATTGGACAAGCGTTCCTGTCGTCACCATGTTGTCAGTGTTGTTCATATGTGTGTTTTTGATGGACAGGATTGATGATGGGGACTGGAGCACTGAGAGGTCATGTGTTTGCACGTGGAACTTGGACCGTCGAGGCCTGTGCACCAAACAAGCTGACCTGGTCATAGATGTTCCTACTGCAGTCACAGCTCTGTGCTGTCACCCCCACCGGCCCGCCCTCATCGCAGGTACACTCCTCTACTCATTTCTCTGTTACAACAGTGAAGCTGATAACAGATTGTGTGCATGCTTACAGTCTGAATCCTAAAATACTTAAAATAAAACTTTTTAAAAACTATTAAGACATGTTTTTCAGCTGGCAACTTGAGAGAAAGTGACTTTATTTGTCAGCAGCTTCGATTCCTAGATCATCTTAACTAGCTGAGACCTGAGACCTGGGACCTGCACCCCAGAGCCAGATTTATGTGATATTACTCTTGCTTTGGGCTCATTGAAGGTTTTCCTGTATCATGAAGCTAGCTCACTTTTAGCCGGGGTACATCTGTCATTATAGTAAAGCATGCTGCAGGACTAGCCTCGTCTGGAGCACGTTGAACGTAGGACTTATAACAAGACTCTTAAATGAACTTGTATTGATTTTCAGGTGTACCAAATGAATTATTGAGTGTATAGTCATTATTAGTGCAGGGTCCTGACAGGATTAAAAGTGAATAAATAACCTATTTGAGTGTCACTTTTTTACATCACTGTGACTGAGTATCCTTTTGGGAACAACAGCTTGTTGATAGACATGATGTTTTGTGTTTTTTGAGTGCATCACATAATTTTGAGCACTTTGCGTCCCCTCCTCCCCAAAAAGTCAAATGTGCGTGATCAAACATTATAATCATTTATGAAACAACAATAAATACTACAATTGCACAAACACGTCTTAGTTTTTGAACAACAAATGAGTAACACTATATGTAGAAAGATTTTGTCAACATGGTTGCATCACAGCTGTGCAGAATTCCAATGCCAATCTTTTTTTTTTTCTTAATGCAGTTTCATGTCTTTCGCTGTATGTGTTATCACAGAACTGTTGAGTAGTGCTCAATATAAAACGTGTGTGTGTGTTTGTGTGTAATGCTGTAACTGCAGGGGGTCTGTACAGTGGAGAGGTGGTGGTCTGGGACACCAGTCGGACTCAGGACCCTGTGCTGGCTCAAACTGGGATGTCTACAGACAGCCACCGAGAGCCTGTTTATCAGGTGAGTGCACACAATCTGTTTGGTTATCTGTTAGAAATAATCAGTATAGTAAGGCTTGTTAATGTCTGTCATCATATAGAGCGTTTTCCTTGACTGTGAAATCTGTTCTACAAAAACAAAGAACACCGCTGGATCAACTGAAAGAGCCATACGGGTGTAGAGTGAAGTTGTCTAAGTTATTCATCTGATAAGAGTGTTCAAAGCACATCCTTTGTGTGTGCAGGTTGCATGGGTCCCCCTGCAGAAGAAAGGAGAGTTTGGGGTGCTGAGTGCCAGCCCAGGAGGAAGGGTGCTGCTGTGGACAGTGGACTCAGACCAGGGCAGATTTGTCCTGAATGCTGCTTACGCCTTAGTGCGACAGCAGGTTCCCCACAGCAGCAGCGCCAGCTTCAAGGTGAGACTGAGGAGAAAACTGAAACTTAACTCTTTTGGCTCTATACACCGCTTAATCCTCACTAGGGTCGTGGGGGGGCTGGAGTCTGTCCCAGCTGATTTAGGGTGAAGGCAGGTTCCAGTCTATCACAGGGCTACACAGAGAGACAACCAAGCACACTCACATTCACACCTACGGACAATTTAGAATCACCAATTAGCCTCAACACACACACACACACACACACACCAAAACAAACACAAACACACAGGCATGCTGTTGTGTGTAGGAGCTACTTTGACTTATAAAAATACTCAAACATAAGATTTCTGTTCACAAGAAGCATCTGCTTATCTGAACCATATCTTGAAAAATAAAAAAAAGAAGGCCTTCTCAGAAGACCCCAGAAAGATCTGCTAAAATTAATGCAGAGGTTTGCCTGACTGCTGGGAAAATGTCTTGATGAAACTTGCATTGGATTGTATGAGGACGTGCCCTGCTAAGTATAGTGTTAAAAAAAAAAGAAAAAAAAGGCACTGCATACCAAAATAAAATCATCCTCATGGTTAGGCATGGTGGAGGCAGCATCATGATTTGAGGCTTTTTTTTTTTTTGCTTTGTAGAATGTGTCTGGACAAAAACAAACCTGATCTGCAGCTCCTGGACACTT